GTCACTCATTATAAAAAGAATACTTTCAGTGAAAATAGCGAAGATCGGGTCGCTATAACCTGTAGCCTCCATACAACTGATTGTTCAGTTATGAGAATTTTCGTTATAACTCCTCCACTTATGCAGCTGGGAACATGACATTTCGCAACATTTCCACCCATTATCAAAAAGATACTTACGGTGAAAATGGCGAAGGTCGGGTCGCTATAACCTGTAGCCTCCATACAACTGATTGTTCAGTTATGAGAATTTTCGTTATAACTCCTCCACTTATGCAGCTGGGAACATGACATTTCGCAACATTTCCACCCATTATCAAAAAGATACTTACGGTGAAAATGGCGAAGGTCGGGTCGCTATAACCTGTAGCCTCCATACAACTGATTGTTCAGATACGAGATTCTTTGTTATAACTTCTCCATATATGCAGCTAGAAACATGAAATTTCGCAATATTTACAATAATTACCAACAGAAAGTTTACAGTAAACTTAACAAAGATCGGGTCACTGTAACCTATTTATATCCTGCATACAACTGATTGTTCAGATATGCAGTTTTACTGTAAAACTGCTTTATTTGGACTGCTAACACAGATAAATTTCGTAAGCTATTCTATAAATAATAATAGAAAGTCTACTGAAAAAATCGTCAAAATCTACGCTGTATAAGCTTTAACTCTTATACCTCTGANACTAAACCCAATAAATTGTGTTACCGGTTTACATACCGATCACTCAGTAGTGAAAATCACTTAGATTGGTGCTATATAAGGTATATCTTCCATACCTCTGATTGTTTAGATATGGTTTTTCATATGAGATACATATATATATCTATGTATTCTGTAAATGTACAATTTTTTTTTTAATGCAGTAATCTATTAAAGTAAAATTTTCAGATACTCATGAAAGGTATGAAGCCTTCGGCATAGCCGAAGACAGCGCTGCTCTTACTTTTTTTCCAATAGTTAAGTTTCGCGCTAAACCGGTTTTCGTGATTGAAAAATTAAAAAAAAAATGTTTCGTCAATTTGTTTTTGTTATTTTTATGGCCTTATAACAATTATATTCAACAATTTTTATGAGCTGTTTTTAGTGAAACCTTATTGTGAAAAAGCAACAATAATTTGAAAAAATGGTAGAACTGATAGCTATTTCGGAAAACACCACATTTCCTCATCAGACTTCTTTCAGTAGGATTCG